TGATTACCGGGCATTGAACAAAGCCACTATCAAGAATAAGTGGCCGATCCCGAGAATAGATACCCTATTGGATCAACTGCAAGGAGCTAAGGTGTTCTCGGCTATTGACTTGCAGCAGGGGTACTACCAATTACGGATCGATAAGGCAGATTGTGCCAAAACGGCGTTTGTTACGCCATTGGGCTTGTACGAGTTCAAAGTACTTCCCTTTGGACTTGCGAATGCCCCTGCGATATTCCAGCAGACGATGCACCATATATTTGGTGATCAACTTGGCAAACACGTCCTAGTTTACCTAGACGATATCTTGGTGTTTAGCCGAACTGCTGAGGAACACATACAACACCTTCGGCAGGTGTTAGAAGTGTTACGACAGCAAAAGTTATACTGTCGAATGCACAAGTGTCAGTTCAATAAGGAGGAGATCTCCTACCTGGGACACATCGTGTCTCAAGAAGGAATTCGCCCAGATCCCGAAGGGATTGAAAAGGTGAAGAACCGGCCTGTACCTCAGTGCGTGAAGCACGTACAGCAGTTCCTCGGACTGGCAAATTACTTTCGAAAGTTCATTCAGGGCTATTCGAAAATGGCGACTCCCTTGACAGACTTGACCAAACAGAATGGCAAGTGGGAGTGGACGTCGAAATGTCAGTCAACATTTGAGCACATCATGGAGTGTTTGACCACGGCTCCTTTGCTCAAAATGCCAGATCCTGAGAGACCATTTGAGGTCATCGCCGATGCCTCACAAACTGCTGTGGGGGCGGTCCTGATGCAGGACAATCACCCCATTTGTTATGCGAGTCGAAAGTTCCTCCCAGCGGAGTTGAACTACAGCGTGACAGACCAGGAAGCTTTAGCTTCGGTCCATGCTGTCCAGTTGTGGAGATGTTACCTTGAAGGAACATGCTTCAACCTGGTAACGGACCACTGTCCGTTGACCTACCTTAAGTCACAACCACAACTGAGCCGCAGACAGGCCAGGTGGTCAGAAATCTTACAACAGTTTGACTTTGACTGGGAATACCGCCCAGGGCAAAAGAATGTGGCTGATCCACTCTCTCGCATTCCTCCATCGCCCGATGAGCAGGAGGCTAAGAGGAAAAGTCAACTAGTTGTATGTGGCTTAAGAGTAAAACATAAGCGGGGCAGCCAAAAAGAGGCAACTGAAACGGTAGAGGCCAAAGATCTAGCCTCCGGGATCCGTCAGGCCTATGGCAAGGATCCCCAGCTTGCGTCTGTTAGACAGCAGCAAGATATGCGCTGTACAGACGGGTTGTGGCTGCGAGGCACTCAGGTGTATATCCCTGAGTCTCCCAGTCTGCGGACTGAGATCTGCCAGCTGGCTCATGACCATCCAAGTGCTGGGCACTTTGGTCAAGCTAAGACCCTAGACTTGGTCCAGCGGCATTACTGGTGGCCAGGAATGCGACGAGAAGTACACCAGTACGTCGATACTTGCCTGGTTTGTCAACAGGTTAAGTACCCTCGTCATAAGACCCCAGGCTTATTACAGCCACTGGGCATTCCTGAGGAGCCATGGACAGAGTTGTCCATGGACTTCATTACACAACCGCCAAAAACTAAGGGAGGTCATGATGCTATCGTCGTGTTCGTCGATAGACTGACCAAAATGGTCCGCCTTGCAGCTACGACCACCGAGCTCTCCGCAGAAGGAGCAGCTGACCTGTTGGTGCAGAATGGGATAAGGCACCACGGCCTCCCCTCTCAGATAGTGTCCGACAGAGACGTTCGGTTCACTTCCAGGTTTTACCGGTACCTGGCCGAGAGGTGGAAGATCCAGCTCAACATGAGCACTGCGCACCATCCACAGACGGATGGCCAGACCGAAGTCATGAATCGGGTTCTGGAGGATTACTTACGCAGTTATACGCGTTCTGACCATGACGCGTGAGATGAACTGTTAGCCATGGCCGAGTTTGCAATGAACAACTCGAAAAACAGTTCCACCCAGGAAACCCCGTTCTATCTGAATTACGGGAGGCACCCAAAGAGTCCCTTAGCTCTTGGTGTGCAAATTTGGAAGCCATTAAAGGGCTATGACAATCCGAATGCCCGCGGCTTGGCAGTGGCCATTGAAAGGGCGCAGCAGCCTTATTTGAGGCAGTCTGGTACACCCCTCGTGGAGGGATCACCAGCAGTGACACGATTTGATCACCGTGTCCAATCAGCGCTGAAAGAGGCCAGGGCGTGCTTAGAGAAAGCACGAGATAGGCAGTCAAAGCATGCTGACCGCCATCGAAGAGAAGTGTCGTTTAGTAAAGGAGATGACGTCCTCCTTTCGACACAGCATATTACTCTCAAACACCCTGGAACTCGAAAACTATTACCGAGGTGGATTGGGCCCTTCACCATCCTCGACCGGATAGGTTCTGTCGCATATCGACTAGAACTCCCGGACAGCATGCATAGGATACATCCAGTATTTCATGTATCGGAGATTAAGCCTTATAAGGCAAGTGGCAGAGTACAGCCACCCCCAGTACCTATCGAGATCGAAGGTGAACTGGAGTATGAAGTTGAACGTATCCTTGACAAAAGGATTAAAAGCGTGGGAGACGCAAAAACTATGTTGAGTACCTTGTCAAATGGCTGGGGTATGGACATGAGCATAACAGCTGGGAATCAGCAAAGTCAGTTGCAAATGCACAAGAATTGGTTCAAGCATTTGAAAATGGCAGAACACCTGTGATGCGAATGCAAACTGCATGAAGTACGGGATGTACATACTGAAACATGCTCATGTGTGCTTATGCTTTTGACAGGTTCTCTTGCGCCGGGCCCAGAAAAACACTGGGTATACTGCCCCCCGTGCAAGGTCGCAGTTTGGACACATGAACGCCATGTCCGTTGCGATCCTCAACGGGGAGAGGTTGGAGACCACCGACCCCTACGTGCCATTTCCCCGTGCGCCTGAGCGTGCACGCGGACGTGGGCGACGGCGGGGTGCCGCACCGGGCCGATCTGTACCGGCGTGGGCTGCTGGTGGTACTCGGCATCGCGGTCGCCGATGAAAGGCCGGGAGGTCAAACATTTCCAGCCACTTGGCTGAGGAAGAGTTTTAATGAGGGTTGTGAAGGCCGGGACGGTCATGTAAAACAACCACTCTTTCTCTTCATCCAAAACTGTTTTGTGTGTTGTGTTTTGTTAACTGGGCATGTGGCAAATCGCACAGCCAGTTCCACCAATATACATACAATGTTTCTGCTCCCGTATTCACTTATTCTGGGACGAGGACGCCCCTCTCCCTGAGGGGGACGAATGTTACGCAAGACTCGATGGGAGGTTCCACATGGCTCCAGCCTGGCAAAATTACTATCTCACCCAATGTAACCTTTATCCATATTAGGATACGGGAGTAGGAGGGGTGGTCCCGCCTAGGTGCCCTGTAAGGACCTAGGTGCCCGGCGAGGCGGGTCCGCGGCTCAAAGAGGGCAGGAACCCCACACCCACATCCTATTCGTAACAGAGCCGCTGGGTTTTGGGCCTCTAGGAATGATATGGAGGCAGGCTTAATTTTTACATTTACAATTTTGTATTTTTATATTTACGTTTTCATGAGCAAAAACGTAAAATTTGCAAAAGCGCTAGTTTTTTGGTCAATTTTATATTTTTACAGCTAGTTGAGACAGATAGGTTACACGATGAATGTTGCATACAATGGCCAGTCCTCTGCCATTTTTAGCGTATGCAACATAGTGCCCACCTCGTCCTCGGCAAGAGCAACAAAGGCGTTCCACGTGGAACAAAAGTGCATTTTCTACCCATTTTAGCGCGTATGATTACCACTCCCCGGACTCCCCAACTTTGTATCTACTGTCCTTATGTTCACAAGCCCGTATTTACATTGAATTCATGTATTTTTACGTGTCTTTATGTGCCAAAACGTACAAACTATTTTGATTGGTAAAAACGTAAATGTTTTTAGGTTTTATATGGTAAAGCCGAGCATTAAACCAAGCCTGTGTGGAGGCAACAAATTCATAGGTAGATCCAAGGCAACGATATCCCCTTACAAATAGGCTATCTATCCAGTCTATTCGATATGATAATGTCATGACAGTGCATATTAGGGGCTGCACTTTAAAGTTGATTCCAGCATGATGAACATCAAACGATGTAGGGGGTTGGGGTGCTTAAGTTGACTACACTCTGACAAGAAATGTGTCATACAAAGGGCACCCCTCCAAGAAAATGTGTGCGGGACTATGTGCTATACTATGGAAAGATCTTTGGCAAAAAGCTATGCATCTTCAATACAAACATCAAGATATGGCCATATGATATGGCCCATATCCCATGGCATGGTACCCGTTTCCAAGGATTTAACCATATTCTTGACCATATCCTTGCATTCCAAGATATGGAGGATTCATATCCTGGATATGGAAGAGTCTCGTACTAGGATATGGCACATCTTGGATATATATACGAAGGATGTGGAGTCCATATCCTATTCGATATCCAGGATATGTGACTTTTTATTGATAGTGATATAAAAAATCCCAAAGAGAAAGGGAAGAGGGGTGCACATCCTAGTAGCTGAAATCAATATAAGCTAAGAATAGGGCCCAAACCATCAATAGCTTGCATGGAAACTTCTATAACTTTACAACTAAATATCCTTTGGTATATCGCAACCGTCCATGTTCAACAATTGTTTACATAGCTTGCTTCCACTAAGTGATGAAACTATTGGCCAAACTCCATTAGAAACAAGAACAACAAACATTTGTTGTCATCATTAATCAGGCTTCTTATTAAGCCACTATTATACCTTTGTAGGCCAATCGCACAACATAAGGTGGTGCTAACAATGACCAGTTATGCTGAGCAATAATGTTATGCTCTTTTGCAACTATGCTTTTCTCTTGAAAAACAGCTATCCTCCGAGAGCTAGTTTCTTGAAATGATATGATCATATTCCTACCGGCTTGCATCGACAATGAACGATATGGAAATAGAGTACATGGGCCACTTCACAATAACAAATTCGTCAGCGCTTCTCTGGTGGGTTCCTGGCAGCCTAGTGCATCTTTGCAAATGATTTCACCTGGCGTTTTTCCATCATTGTTCGTCACCAGAATATCTGCCCCACGTTCCACAAGCAGCTCTGCCACACTCGCAAAGCCTCTAAACGCCGCCAGATGCAGAGGCGTAAAGCCGTCATGCTTCCCAGCATCCACGTCAGCACCAAAGTCAATAAGCAACCTCAATGTACCCAGATTGCCCCGGTCTGCGGCCCAATGGAGCGGTGTCTCTTCAAGATTGGTCCTGTCAGAGACGCTCGCCCCGAAGTTGAGTAGAACGAGTCCCACTTTCTCGGCGTTGCTGCCGGATGCAATGTGCAACGCCGTCCAATTCTCTCTGCAAGTCGCTCCCACCTCCGCTCCCGCTTCCAGCAAAGCGGTCGCAACAATGGCGTTGTTGTTTATGTCCGCAGTAGCGTGGAGGACAGGGCATCCCTGGCCGGGCTCGGTTGGAAGGCAGCAGGCGTTTGGGTCCGCACCTTGACTAAGCAGCTGGTGGACAGTGGCATTTGCCGAGGGCTCTTCTGCTCTTCTGGCAAGCCGCATCAGGTCCTGCAAACCATCATCAAATCGATCCTTATGGCAGATCTGCTGGTAAAATAATGTCCCCCAAATCGTAACGATTGCGCGATTTCGTCCCGCACTCCGAGCATGCCCCAGAAGAAAGATTCAGTAGTCCTGAACGGTTTAAGCATGAAAGGAGCGAAAAGGATGATTGTCAGCCAGAATTGGGAAATCCCCAAACTCCCTCCAAAGGATCTGCAGGTGTTCAATCCTGGGATCGAGAATCTGCAATTTCCCTCCAAATTCGAAGAGCTTGCCGCTATCCAAGCCTTCGAACAATTGACATATTGGTAGCTGACAGCGCCTGTTCGTTGAAATGTTTTTATTCAAAAGTTCTGATAAGCTGGTATCAGGTGGGGAAAATATTGTGCCACAAATATCGCATGTTGATATCCCAAATTCGCTTGCGTTTTCGTAGGTACTGATGCAGTTCTTTTGGGCCCTACTGGCAGGAGATAACATGAAGGACATCCACAGTTTGCTGACCACAAGATTGCAAGGCGCCACCAATTGGTAGCGGCTACCAATTTTTGCAAAATCATTGCCTCCACACCTGGCAGCTTTGTAGATGTTTGCGTGACTATTTCAACTAAGGGCTCTATGTTGCAATATAGAGAATTCTATGTTGCCGTGCTTGGAGTAGCTTGGTAGTGAACTTAAACACACACTACACCAAGATGGTGTGCTAAATTCGGCATGTGGCGACTGTTCTATCGACGGTACATGCCGTCATATGGAATGTTCATGCAGGCAATCGCAATACTGAGAGCCGTTCCATGGACCCACCAAGTTGAGCTGCTCTTCTGATCGTACGAGGGCTGGTGATGAAGTCATCGGAGCTGGTGCCATAGACGGCAGCTTCACCTAAGACACGAATGACGAATATCAGGCGAGTGCATGCGCCTAATAACAATTGCCTATGCACGAATATGCAAGAATATTGCTTACGTATGCAGGTGTCAATATTTGGATGCGCGTCCAGCCCTGATTTCATTCTTACGTTCATGACTGTTTACAAGCAGTTTATTATGAACCCAAAGGTCACAGTGATTCGATGTATTGCTGTCAATATGTGTACAAATGATGGTACAGATCCAGCCAGGGCAAGCTTGACGTTTGCCAGACACTAGCACAAAAAATCTCATTGGTGGGGCATCCTATTCTGACGACCAATTATCAAGCATTCGCAAACTGCAGCACATTATGCTGAGATGTACAAGGTGATATGTGTCCTGAAGCACGTAAAAAAGTACCTTTTTCAATGATTTTATTGATCGACCCATTTGTAAAGAAGGTTGCGGGGATTGGTCCAGCAAATCGCTCACTAACTATTACCACGAATATAATTCCGGTGACATAGCACCCCTTTCCATCGGACTAGCAGTTATGAGAACGCTCCATCCATCAAATTGCTACAGCGCAGTGTTTCTTCAAGTATTGCTTCTCAAAATCTACTTCACCATCGCCAAATGCTTTTGCGTCACTAGGGCGGTTCGCACTGGAGAAGAAAATGGATCATCCATAGCTGTGGAAGTTCTGCAGAACTTCTATCTCTAGCACCCAATCGCTAAAAGTTCACCCATATTCATATTACTTAAGCAATGAACACAGTTACTCATTTGATCCCTGCATTGTTCCGCATGCACACAGTTTTCAAGCGCAAGAACGGTAATTAGCAAACGATAGTCATATAAGGGCGCTGCGCCATTTGTTGACACGGCGTCATACCATACATAAGGTCACTTGTCCTTTCTATGTCGTTTTGATCAGTTTCTTGACCAGTCACTCACCGAAATTACGTCATCGATCCAACTGCGAAAGCTGGCAACCCGGGTGAAGACACTGGGCCTCGTCGAGTTCCCACAGTCTGCCCTATCGCCAAATGAGGTTATTCCCACCACGACATCCAGCTCGGGGTTTCCGCCTTCAATGTTCCCTTGCGGAGAGAAGGCATCGAGCAGGGGACCGCCGCTGTCACCTGCGGAAAGAAAGCTTTTCTCCATTTGTTTCTGTCTCGGGCATCAAGGTACTGAAATTGCGTCAATTCGCCAATGATATGATAGCATTAGGCATATGGTCACTTGCCTTTAAAAAATCAGCCCAATCACTAAAACAATGGTTGTTTGCTGATCCATAGACAAACATGCGACACACTTTTTGTACGATGTGCCAAACTTTTGTCAGACGCGATCGCCAGGGGGAAAATGCATACAAGCGTGTTACTATTACACGTTGGGCGTTCAACGGCTCTATTGATGTTGAAGCGGACCCGGATGTTGCTATTCATGGATGTTCCCACATTGCGTTCTATGTTCACTACGTTCTTGTTTGCGTCTCTCCCATTCTACAGGTGGTATGAACACTGCCCAATGACTTGCAGGTGTTGAAATTGTCCGATTTGTTCACAGCTTATCGGGAATATATCGGGAATATCGGGAATCTTATTGGAAGAGCATGCCAGTCTCCTAGAAATTGAAAGACAGCCACACACTGTCATCTCTTCTCCCTGTCCAGGTATCGCATTTTATCTTTCACATGCGTACCTCTGCAGACGTCCTGATTATTCCTTGTGCCCGTTGCGCACAGCATGGTATCACGTATGATGCCATTCCACCCGGCATCTGAGTTGCAAAACCTGTTTGGAACGACTTCGATTTCAGTGGACATCTGCAAGTCCTCTGGCCCTCGGGTGCTTCCAGCCTCCTGTTCCCCCCAGCCCAGAGCCACCACCATTTGGTTTCCAGACACAGCGGTGTCTATGTCCGTGGGGAGAAGAGCAAATGCGTTTTCAGATTCCTTGTTCAGCATCAGCAGTGCGATGTCCGAGCCATTCACAACCGAACCGCTTATGTAGTCTGGGTGGATGACGGTCTGTTTAGACGACCGTACCTGCGGCAACAGAGATTGGAAATTCATGTCGACAGCTCGAAAAGGGGAAATAGTACATTAAGCGTTGCTTCGAATTTTCATGAGCAGACTCGATTCTGTCAATTTGAGCGTCCTGCGGGATGATAGATACTGGTTTGAGGTGCTCAAAAGCGGGCAACCTCTGTCTGTGTGCACGGATAGAACCTTCAGCGGATAGTTTGACTCAGCATTGTCATTGATAGTGTGACGTATTTGCGGCAAATGAATGTATGATAAATTGCTAAGCATTATACCCACTCAGAAAGGTGCGACTATGGGTTGTAGCCTGCAGCGATCCTGAGATGTATTCGAAACGAAGATCGACAATAAGGATATACTAATGAGGTAACCTTTTTGTCTTTTCTAGAAATCAGCAAAATTAGTACTATTCATGACTTTACCAACCAGGTGCACGGGCTGTGTTTTGTCATCTTGTGACAAATGTAATCCATGCATATTGATGATGATGGTGACCCCACCTCAACTTCAACATTGGCGTTTGTTGTGTCGTCTAGACTGCAAGCTCCCACGACAATAATGGGAGTTGGTCCAGCAGTGATTGGGTCATTGGGGTCAATGCAGTGTGCCGCAGTCAGCACCCAGTGTTGGTCCACAAGAATGCCACCGCACTTGTGCTCATTGAGTCTGTTGCGAAGGGATACCATGAAAGGAAAACGCCCACAAGGTGCACCTGTTCCTCCCTGGGCAGAACATCCAACTGTTTATCGCCACAACTGGCTGTTTAAAACAAGGAGTCGTGGCGCGGTTCTGTTTTCTTTACAATCCGCAAGCATCTTTGTGATTCCAACATTTGCACGACGCATCCAATAAAGGTAAATGATACTGGGACAAAATAATGCATCTTCACGGTTTGGGGCTACATACGTTTACTGGATTTGCAAGACGTCTTGATGGAGAAATGATTATGGGGCAAATGGGGCAGATCCCATCACTGCAAAGCCTACTAAGAGCTTCTGCTGCTGACGCTTTAGGCACTCAGAACGCAGATGCTGATGTTGGAGCACTTGTAAAAATAAATGAAGTAATATTACGCCATTTTCGTGCGTAAATTCACATGTTCATGTAGCCTCAGAGAAAGAAACCAGGTGCACAGTCACCTTTGTCTATTATCCATTTGGTGGGTCATGGGATGAAGGAGTCAAGAGAAAAGAACATTCTGACTACAGTGCGCTTATCGCTCTAAATTGAGTGTACCTGGGAAATCTGCAAGCAAAATATCAGCACAGTGTAACCAGCTACTCTCGAAGAGTTCGAGCGCATTGCTACGTTGCTGCACTTCTACAATGCTACACTGCGTTATTGGTGTTATTGATGCGTTCCGTAGTGGCCTTGCACAAATGTTCATAAATCTTGGGTTTCGCGCGTCCAGACTTTTGCTGAGCTGCTTTTTGGCAGCCACATTCTGCCAAGCAGGGGCTTTGGGGCTATACCACAAAAACACAAGAACACACAGAAACTAGCACCGGGCGTAAACAGACCGGAGGCGGTAAGCGATGAAGCTATGGACTGGTCGGACAAGAACACTGAAAACCTGAATTTTCATGTCGTTGAGGTTGTAATTGTGAAAACTGTGCTGTAGTCTTAGACGCACATTCAGCCCCAAAGTCAAAATACGGAATAATGCATGCATTTCGGCATTGTTATTTTTAACCGTATTCGTATTCCCAAGCCGGCTGACAATAAGCGCCTGTCCGACAACCCAAATCCTGGACGCGATACAGCCCCAAAGTCGGTTTTATTTCAGAATTCTCGTTAGGAGGGCACCACCCACACCTAATAGGGCTGCCCAGCCAGAGCATCATCCTTCCACGGAACAAGGCACTAAGCCTCTGGCACAACTGTAAAAAGTGTCTCGAATAGGACTCGACCAAGGGGAGAAGAAAAGGAAAGTAAGAATGCGGTTGGTTGTCGGTGCATGGCAGCACAGTCGCCCGCTCCCAATTTACCCCCATGGTAGCCACCCTCCGCTTACCGACACAAATGGAGTTACACTATCAGCTTGATGAAGCTGTCTTGATTTCCGGCGTTCTGCTTGAAACTCCGTACCTGCCACACAAGGAAATTGGAGCAGGTCATGGAGCACCTGTGATCAAAACCGCCCATGATGGTCATGATGGGACAACACGTAAATGGCACATCAACAGACGCAAGTAGACATTGACGTCCGGCCAAGGGCGAGGCGGTTGTGTGGAAAAAATCGAAACAAGAGCAAACGTTACCAGCAAAGGGTGAGTGCACGGTTCCAGATGCTAAGCATTGCATGCGGAATGCGATGGCAAGTTCAAAGCAAAACATCACAGCCGCGTAGTTTGAGGGCCACTCAGATTCCCGGGCCTCTGAGTCATCCAGGTGGCCCATGCAGCGTGATTCATTGAAGGACACCACCTGGTCTGTTCACGGCGCCGATTCTGCGAAAATTGTCGGTCAGGTAATGGCTACAGAAACGTCTCATCAGCGTGTGCCCAGTGTATACCATACGCCCGCGCTTGCGCCGCCCCTGGGGAGCAAGGCCTGCCTGGTTGAAATGGCGCTTTGGACCGCGCCATAACACCCTCTGGCACACAACCGCACTGAACGTGGGAGGCGCCTTGCTGTGCTCCCACAGTGCCAACTCTGCTGTTGCGTGGCAGGGTTTCCTCGTTGAGACACACTGGTTCACCCTGTTTTCGGCAACTTTCTCCCCGTTGGGGAAATGGCCACATGGCCCTCGGCTGGGGACCGCGGCCCAGGGAACTTGCCCGTCAGGTCACCTGCAAGTTTTTCAGGGTTGCGCTCCTCACCTTGCAGTCGCAGCGCATCAGCGGATGGGAAGTCGGCCACCGCCCCAAGCAGGAAGAAAACGCCAAACAGCGCCGTGCAGGCGCCCACCATGTCGCACCCGCGGGCGGCAAGTGCAGATCAGCGCCTCAGACGCCTTGCCACTGTCACGCTGCCTTACAGCGCCTGCGCGCTGTGGCGTTCATACGAATCGCAATCACTCTATTGGTGTGGGTCGCGCCATTCGAATGCGAGAAGGGCATGAAGAATTCAGCGCAATCACACTCCAGGAAGACCCATGAAAATGTGACCAGGGGACAACACAGCGGAACCGTGCCATTTGTAAGAGTTTTGTTGTGCAGCACCTTGACCCTGTGGCGCACCCACATGCCCTGCTGTCAGGCACACAGCCCAGTTGCCAACAAGTCGAGCCACAGTCACGCAGGAAAGCCCCACCCTGCACCCCCCTCCGTCACCGTCGTTTCACCGTTGGCCCCATCCACAGGGACGCTGAGGTTGCAACGGATAGGAGAGTGGTGACTGTTGGCGCTCTACTGGCATTGCCGTGGATTCTGCGGCCACCCCGAAGCGACGCTCGCGCAGACAGGAGCGCATGTTCGCCACATGTTCGCCGCATGTTCGTTTGTGGACAGGGGCACGGGTTGATGGATGACGATGGGACCCTGGGGGTCAACTCGGTTCACCTTTTGGCAAGCGGGTGTGAGCTTTCTTGGGTGGCGTCGCCCAAAGGGCGACAAATTTGAGAAGCAGCGTGCTCTTTGTGCGGTGCTTTCTGCACCTATTGCAGCTTTTGCAAGCATCTCCTCTCAAACTTTGGAAGGTACTGATGAGGTTGCCAGCAGTTCAGGGGTTGGAGCGGGGCGGACGTATCACCCCAAGGCAGTTACACACGCTGAAGCGACCTTTTGCTGTTATTGAGTGAGATCACAAGGAATTTATTTGTCGAAAGGAAGATATTAGTCCGCACAAGAGCAGCGTCCCAAACAATTTGTTGCGAGTGTCATTTATCTTCAAGGTGGAGAACCAGATGCATAGATGCAGCAGATGTAGCACACGCAGACTTGCACCAAGGAATGCTCCCTGCGGCCAAAACACTAATTAGCGTTTCCCCCCAGTACATTGGAAGGTTAGGAATGCCCTCTGCCACCACCACAATGCCAGGTGACCCTGTTGCACAGTGCTCCACTTCTGCTCAGCCAACCTGTTGCCAGATGTCTTCGGCAAGACACAAGCCCAAAGGCAGCTGCCTGCCTTAAGACTTGGAGGCATGTGCATGTTGAGGGGGTCCAACTTCTACATGACAACAGTGATGCCGGTCTAGTCTCGTCATACTGTGGAGCTGGCTGGGAGTTGTATGACTTGTCCTGCAGTTGCAAGCTCAAGTCTGCTTTTGATCAACATGATCCATAGTTCCTTGCCATGCTTGGTTGCGTGGATCGTTTTGATGCCGCTTTTGTTGGCACATTCACTTCGGTGCTTGATGTCAGGGCGAACAAGCTGATATCTGAAGTCTTTTTGTCTAAAGGTCACCCATCGTTGGTGAGCTCACGGCTTCTGACTACTCGATTGATTTCGTAGCTTGTGTGCAGCTGTGTAATGGACTTTGAAACTCCAGGCCATTTCATTGCTTTGGATGTGCTCAAAAATTCCACATGCTGGGATGTACAGTCACTCATGGTCACTTGCACAGAAGCATCACATCTCTGTGTAGTGCATTGCAGAGTGACAAAGTGGGCCATCCTCGACCAGAATTTATCCTGATGCGCATGCCTCGGAAACAACAAAATGTCTGCATTCTATTGCCTCAAACTGAATAGATGGCATCAAAAAGTCGCACGGTTATAGTCGTCTGCGACGCACACACGTCGTGCACGAAGCAAACTTTGACAACATTGGCCCTTGACTCACCGTTTGAAACTCCTAGTCCCAAAATTGCCCTTCCAACAGCAAGGAAATGCTTTGAGCCGCACCCCACTGGCAAGCGTATTGTGATGACTCAAGCCCCTGCTGCGCTGTCGCCGAAACAGCCTCGGAAACCACATCCTCGGGGCCCTCACTCCTTATCCAAGCTGACCGACCATTGGTATCCGAAGGGGTCCTCAAAGACGCCGAACTTCGCGCCCCAGTACTGGACCTTCAGGTCCAGCTTTGCCTTCGCGCCCTCCTTCAGCACATTCGCCCACAGAGCGTCGGGGTCGGGCACGCTCAGATGAACCATGAAGCCGCGTCCCTGTGGCCCGGCCTCCCCAATCGCCGTCTTCTTCTCGTGGTCGACTGCAACGCACAACCACCACAACTGCCGCGGTTGACAAACGGGGCAGAGGCAAGGGAAAGCCAAACAACCCTGACGAAGAGAATGCTCAGGCGGGGAGCTGCAGCACTGTGCGGCGTTCCACGGCTCACCGTTGTCGCACATGTAGACGGGCCCCCCGTTGATGAGCACCGGCGCGTCCACGATGGGTTTCTTGCCGGGGTCTCCGCCCTTGTTCCAGTCCGCAGCCACCTCGTAATCGTCAGGTATGTGGTACACTTCCCCGGCCGCCTCCGCGCCCAGGGCTCGCTTCAGCCATTCTATGTGCGCCGCGCAGTCCGGAGACACGATGTACGGGACGGCGCCCTTGGGGCGCCGGTCGGCCTTCGGTGGCGCTGCTCCCTGGTGTTCCGACATGTTTGTCGTGCCTCACCTGTGCTTCACGGGAATCGAAGATTGCATCGGAGAGTATTATGCCCCCAACGCTGGCGGCGCGCACTCAGCCCTCGCACTCAAACCAACAAGGAGGTAAGGAATTCACGGATGCATCCATGTGGTGTGTGCGCCAGACGTCGGTCGGAACCAGCTAACAATCCCGGACGCCACAGGGAACATTTGACTTCTGACGCCCACGGCGCGCTGTTTGATTCGAAGTCATCGTCGACACACCCACCGCAGAAGCCTTGCGGGGGCCGCGTTTCCCTTTGCGCTCCTTGCCAACTTGGTGACTGTTGCCGTGCTGACGGCACACGCTGCTGGCCTTATGGAGGGGGCGGCCAGCCGCACGTGGGCGTCGCAGTTTGGGACACCCAGATGCCCCTGGCTTCCTTCATGCGCTGTTGCTGTCCGACAATGCACCATCGAGTCGCTCAATGGCCACCACGGGTATGCCGGTGTACGGGCGCATCGAGTGTCGGGCGTTGGCGAGCACCAGAAACTACCAGCATGAATTCGGCAACAACACCGCTGTACCCAGTGATTGCCCACATCAAGCCATGACCACAGATAGCCTCGATGCCAGAACATGGAAGAAAGAAAATGCTGCATTCCAGATGTCGGGTAACGTTCGCAATCTGTCCAGAAATCTTTGAGAGGAATCCACCGCATGAGCGTTGAAGAAGCGCTGTGTGCCATCCCAGTTCAGCGCAGATCGTGAGAGGCTGACAATTCGTTGGCCTCCCCATTGCGAAGTGGGGACACCCGACTGTTTGGTGTTGTATTTCGTACCCATACATCTAATAGGTCGCTGGACTCCAGCGATTGACATTGTCTACAACATGACCCAGCCCATCGAACACAATTCAAGAGAGTACGCCCTCGTTTGAATGAACAAATCAACAGAAATCGTGCATAATTATGGCCTGCACCACGCATCAACACGGGACTACCCCTCAAACATTCATTTCATGCCTTGTGCTTACACGGCAACAGGTGGTTCCATCTCCTGTGCAACATTTCTTAACATTTCAACATTTCAAGTCACTGATTGACCATTGTGTATGGCCATGGTGTTGTTTATTGCGGCGACAGGTCAGCCATTCCACGAGAAGTGGAAAGCCGGCGAAATGTAGGAGATGTACAAGGATGTGGGAAGACAAAATGCCGTATACCAGAATAGCAGACTGATGCAATATGCCCGGTTGTGTTTTACCGGTTCGGTCATGCAGCCACGAGCCACCATGTCCGTGGGTACATCGCACACGCAGCTGTGACACGACATCGTGGGAGCGCAACGGGCGCTGGAAGCGACACTGACAAAGCCATACACAACCAGTCGTTGTGCATGTCTTTCAGGCCTTATCTGCAATACCTCAACATGCCAGTTGCAAACCCACATGTTATCTGCACTGCAGACCCTAGCCCCCTACCATGAAATCGACCATTTCCTTGCCCCTGCCATTTTCCAATAAAGAATGCGAAACTCCTGAAGAAAATTCCCGCACGAGCATACGAATACCGCCGCCTGCTGGGACGTTCCAACCAGTCGATGGATGCGACTGTGCCACCGCCCCTCTCAGCCCCTCAACGACGCCATTTTAAAGAATTGGAGCCTGCAAACGACGCTGAAGCGAATTCGCACAACTCACAACGCGTTTCCAGGCAAATGTCCCACCATGTTGTCCCCTTCCCTTTTCGAATGGTAAAACAGTTGCCGATCGTTTATTTTACTGAGAACTTCTGAACCCTTGTGTGAAATCCAACACGCTGCCCTAGGTGTCTGTCTTGGATCGTTTGACCCCCAGGATGGCTTTCATGATCTCATACGACACAAATCGAATGCTGTTTTGCGGCACCACCTTCAGGGTGTTTGCCGACCATCCCCTGTAGAAACCCCGCATTCCTTCCTTCTGCCATATGGTCACGAATGCGTTGAGCTGGCCCTTGTACATTTGCCCCTGCATCTGCATGCGGCGGCGGATCGTGTCCAGGGGATAGCACACTGTGGCAGCGACTGTGCCGGAGACTGCCCCGATGGCCAGATTGCTGACCACGTGCTGCTTGCTGGCGAACACATGGGACACAAACGGGATGGGGAAAAGACTAAAAATAGAAATTTGGCAACGTACCCAGGGAGGCTGAACTCATCCATTTCTGTTTGAATGCGGGCAGACAAAGATGGGACACCAAGGATCGCACAATGCTGATGTGGTGGCACAATGATAAACAAAGTCACTGAGTTAAGAACGGGTAGCCTTTGAATCTAGTGGCCAATCCATCCATATGGGAACTTCAAGCAACAATGAAAGTGCTGCTGCCGAGAATGCCAGCAAGGCATAGTGTGGGTCATCAACTCTTGTTCACCAAATGCTACCACTGCAATACAAGCAACAGATGAATTGTCGTGTTTGTATTCAACATCTTTTCTGTTTTTAATTTCTATACCGAAATAGCAAAGACAGAACGTCATTGCCAAATTCAAAGTAAGGTTGGAAGCAAGTTCCAAATGCATGTTCATTGTTTCAGCCAGCTCAACCACGGCGGTGCAAGATGGACAGAAGACGGGAAGCCCACAACACTGCGTGCTGCACAGGAATTCCGTGAATCTTACTTGGCAGTCCAGAGCATTGAATAACAACCCACCTGTTAGACCCCCCATAAAACCAGTGCTTGAACAGATCGTAACATGCAAAATTGAGAGCCGCATACGGTGCAATGCCAATGAGCGTTGGACTCAGGCCCTTGTAGAGGGCAGTCACACCCTCGGTGCGCGTGATCGTCACAAACTCCCTCAGCATACCTGGCAGAAGCCCAACAATATGAGTGACTTGTCCTGAAATGAGCATGTCAAACAGCAGCGCACTGCCCATCTCTCCAGGATATACAGCCACAAATGCCCTCACTGTCCCTCATTGTGACATGCCATGTGGAAGTGAGTTTCACAAGTTTTCTGCTCAGCAGGGGTGCTTATTACACTAGCTGTGTCCTTCTCTGAATGCAACACATTGGAGCAGAGGAACACGAAATTGGATAGCACACTTAATAGGCACACTTAATGCTGGCGACTGATCCCTTGGTTTGCAATCAACTAAACATGTGACTGTCATATGCATATCTTCAATAACGTTTCAAACAGCACGTGGATAGAAGACTCAGTGCCATGGCAGACAACTTTCTTGTGCAGTATTGTTAAGAGAATTGTCCTCAATGCAGGAGCACCTTTGTGGGCATTGGAAGGTAGTGCAAGCCTCAGGCGAACAACATCCAATGGATGAGTCAATGTAGTTGCAGTCATTCCAGCCAAGGCTCCGGATATCAGCCTCCGGGACACTGTGAGATCTCCTTTTTCAGTTGCCAGGAGTCGCTTGTACTGATCGTTGGCCATCAGTTGGGCTGCGGAATATGGGAATATTCTGATGATATTGGTCCCATTTCCTTTCCAAAAGGCAAGAAAGCCCTCTTCTCTGCACAATCACAGTGCAGGATTCAGACAGCATACAGTTAGAGCTGATGATACACTCTGCATGCGAAGATGAGCATGCATCAAGGGCACTGGGGACAGGCTAAGGCAATGCACACGGGCAGGTTATGCTGATGCTGGTGCTTGCAGTTCAAAATGAAGTTGCACTGTTGAACCATTCCACTTCAAAAACACGTCCAGGTCCTCAGCAATTGAATTTCCGTGAGATTCCACGACATTCCGTGGCATCGCTGCTAGAACCTATGGGTGTGTTTATTGACGCAGCAGGGCAACCCACAATAAATATGTGGCCAGGGACATGCCACAGTATGTTGCACATGGTGTTGATGAGTCTGTTACCCACATCAAGGGCACCCGGTATTAGTAGGCGTGTATTGGACCCCAAATCTGGGCGGTGGATACTAATAGTGGGTCATGGATACTAACGTGGCTTAGACCCCCCGATCCAAGGAGTAGACAAGAAAATTTTTGAAAAATAGGCGGTGAAATGCCCCAAAATAGGCTTTAAAAAATGCAAGATGCAACACAACAACAGTCACATCACCAAGTCAAAATCACAAAATCCCAACCAAAAACGCAGAAACGCATTCACAATCAATTGCTGTCAACATCCATATCTGATGCAAAGCCATCAAAATCCTCATCAACACCCTCCGAATCCTCTCCCAAATCATCAGGTCCTGCCACCAACTGATCCTCAACCTCGTGCAGTGCATTCCTGATATCATCCACAACATTCTGACTCTTGACACCCGTCCTTCGACATTCCTCTGGCAAGGCCTTTCTTGCCCGGTTCATCATGTTCGCCTCCCCTCCACTTGGTGGGAGGCGCCTGCTTGGCGGCGCCTGGTGTTGCGGCGGCTCAGTGCGCACAGAGCGCCACCGCCAGACTGGCGTTGCGTGGCAGAACAGATTTGATGCAAATGAAATGTACATTTGCAACAAATTTGACGGGAGATGCCAGCGCGTTCATGTGGACGGCAGCTCTGCCGTGGGGTTCGTTTCGCGCGCCTCCAGTCAACCTGAAGGAAAGCTTGGGCGAGCTTGGCGGCGAGTGTGGAGAGACCGGTTGTGAGAAGTGCCAGGGCTGGCGGCTGGGCGTGTGGCATGCAGCGTGTCACCAGGCGCACCTTGGGGCTGCCAACAACAGCCATCGAGTACCCCCAACGGACAAGAAAAGTCGAAGGAGATCCCACAGCGCAGGGCAAGCACGTGTGTGTGTGGCTGATAAGCCACGGTGCGCATAGTCGAAGTGGTCGTATGCACTTTTCAATCGTTGTTGTGCAGCTGAGTGCCGCGGGATCCAGCGTGATGGCTGCGGAGGTGAGCACGATAGCGAGAATTGCGACAGGAATAAGCCCTGCCGGCAGGTTTGCAGCTGACTCCAGGCCCATAACTGTGCCATGGACGCTTGGCCTACAGTCGCTCGACAAGCAATAAACTTCTTTCGCCAGCGGATCAGCTGCTTAAGCTGTGAAGCTTGCAGCCATCAAGTGCATCGCACTATAACGTGAGCTGTTTGCAGCAGCTATTGCACGTCAAAGGCATGCAATATGAGTGCTGCGCAAGCGAAGACGTGCAAAATAACTTCCTCTCCACATGGCGAGTCCAACGAGCCCTCTTGAGCTCGTTTCTGTTGAAGTTTGGGGGTGGATACTAACACCGGGTCATGGATACTAACGTGGTTTCGACCCACAAAGATGGGGGTGGATACTAAAAGGGGGTGCCTACTAATACCGGGTAAATACGGTAATAAGCAAGCAAAATGAATACAGATCGTCTGTGAGACCAATCAGAGGACAAAGGCGCGGCTGATCCAGTGAGACACAAGTTCGCACCATTGGGAAAGCGCTAGAGGGCTGGACAATGACCTGTGGCATGGCCACGGCCACCCCAAAATCGCCTCTCATCGACCATTCTGGGTAATGAGAGTATTGACTCTAGCAGGAAGCAAGCAAACAAGCTTAGAGAAACATTGCAGACGGAAATTAGCCCCGCCAACCCGTTGCACATTTAGGGGCAGCGCTTTGTCATATGCTCAACATGTTTTCACAAGGATCAATCAGAAAAGGAGGAATGCTGCAGCAAACAATTGACAGTGCTCCAAAGTTCATTCATGCGGCAGAATTCTAATGACACCATAACGCCCAGATCCACACACCTTACCGGTAGATTTTTATCAGGGACTGTCCAACGCCCGTGTAGGTGGAGGAAGACACTCCAGAAGAGGGCACTGCCTGCGCCAAGGAGAGCGGAATGTGAGACCTACCTCGAGGGCGCCATTGTGAACGGCCTCACGCACAAACCCCCCAACTCCGTTGCAGAGATTCGCAACTGCGCTTCCCAGACGTCGGAGCCCTCACCTGAACCTGGAAGAGGAGCTTAATGCGATCGAGAGGCGCCGAGCATGTCCGGGCGATCGCCCCGGCGGTCCCCCCGGCAATAAACATCCTGCGAGCGCCAAACAGGGTCGCTCAATCGCACACCAGGGCCGTAAACAGCCGTGCGCGACGGCCAGCAGCTCCAACGCCTTCTCCCCACCTTGATCCATCGAACCACTTGCCCAGGGTGTCCAGCAGACCGGGAGGGGGCGGCTGAGCGCCAACGCCCGCCTCGGCGCCGACGACGGCCGATCAGGCTGCCTCGGCGCTCGCCGCTGAGCCCCTCCCGTTCTCTCTGGCGTCGGCGGCGCAGCCAAGCCCCAGGCGAGGTGCCAGAGGGAAGGAACCAGCCGGCGTCTGAGGCCAAGTGCTGCCAGTGCTGCCAAGGGCTGGAGTGCTGTAGAGAGCGGCTACGGGTACATGAGCAAGGAGGAACGATGTGAAGCTCGAAATTCTCTGTAGACGATCCCCATTTGCCGTGCGCGCCAAGGGAGCGCACCGCTCTGCGCACCTCCAACCGCCTTGCCTCCCGTCGCCGGCTGCCCGACGCCTCGCCCTCGCGAAGCAGCCCCCTCCCGGCCGTCCGCCCGGCGGCGCCCCCTCCAACTAGCTATTGCCACAGACCGCCGGATAATCCCCCGTCCGCTACCCTAACATCCCTTCCTCGTGAGATCGCCCTCCGGATCTGTGGCTGCGCGCAATGCTCCGCCGATCCGCAACGTCGCTGGCTCGATTGGCGGCCACCGCGGCGTCGCCGCTCACCGCCGCCGCGCAGGGCCCCTCGGCTCCGCCTTCATGCGCCGGCATCGCCTTCGGCGCCCAGCGTTCCATCCAGGTGCGCACTGGCGCCAACCCGTCAAACCGACGCTGGCGACGTTTATGAGCGCCGATCGACTGGCTGAGATCGCATCCGACGATTGTGCCCTCCTGCAACCCAGCTGCTTGGTCGGCGTATTGACGGACAGGGAACTTTTGCGGCCGCGCGCCTTTCGATCGTTTTTGGACATTGGTCGTCATGCTGCCCACTGACGTTGCCAGCGCCCTTCCACACGTGGCCCACGCGCAGATTCAGTGTTTGAAGAGTGCTGGGGAATGTTCTGCGTTCTGTGAAGCGGCTGGATTCGGCGAAGAAGTCACGGCGTCGTTATCCGGCGCCGTGAGTACGGACGCTGCTCGTCGTGCGGTGCCGCGGCACCGGACGAGACCAACCGCTTCGCCGATTTGCAAAGAACATCGACGTCGAGCGAGGCAGCGGGGCTTGCGCATAGATTGGTCGGCCCATGTTTCCATGCGCCCACCGTGTCGATTGGACGTTGTTTGGGCTGCGGGCGTGGTGCATGTTTATGGGCGCACTGGGGAAGGTTTGGGGGTGGGAACGGCGCCTGGGCTGTCTGATCGTCGCAAGCGGCTGAAAGTCGTTGCTTGCGTAGGTGCCGCCTGCTGGAGTGGGCAACTGGGTCTCCGACCGTGAGCTCAGCCGCGGAATGGGCACAGGCGCGTCCCCTGTGACATGGTGAGCCAAAAATGGACGTTAGATGAATCTGAACACCCACGAAGCAAAGCACAGATGTTTAGAAATCAACTGCACCTCAAGTTTTTCTGCAGGTGCAGTACAAATGGGCTGGAGCTGCAACTTTGATTGGAGTTGATATGGTCTATGGTTGGGGATTGTTGTTCAAGGTCAAGTTAAACTTTTCTTTCGTGCTGACCAATACAGAAAATGGACCAGCACTGCTTCCCTGTCAACACCCATCAAAGGCGAGGCGTACATTCGGAGGCAGGCACCCACCTTGTGCTGACATATCCAGTGCCACATGAACAAGAGGCAGTGGTTCCATGGCATTCATGGATGCAAGAACTGTGTCTTGCGCTTGCATTTCCAGCAGTATTTGAACTTGCATGTATGCCAGTGGCACTGTGCCTGACCATAATATGGCTATGTGCTATGATGGCAGGGATGCTGATGGAAAGATCCTTCCACATGGTGGGACTCTAGTTAACCGAATGGTGTCCAACGCTGACCAGCGGGATGCCCTGATCGCTGAGTGTCAAGGCCGCGTCAAATTGTGTTCGGAGAGAAATGCCTGCGACATAGAGCTGCTGACAGTTGGAGGCTTCTCGCCGCTGATGGGATTCATGTCCAAGGAAGAATATGACCACTGTGTTGACAATATGAGGTGCGATACCAGCTGCAGTGCCAATTTTGTGCTGTTGTCGATTGGAGCTGGCACTGGCTTCGACTGCCCCCCTTAGTTGATAGTTCATTCACAAAGCCAGGAATGGTCACTGAATGGTTGCCCATTGCACAGTCTGGTGCTGCGATATTGAGCACGACATACTACAGATTCCACTCACGGGCATACAAGTGCCTGGAATAGTGCTGCCTATCCCGGGACATATGGCTGGCAGCATCTGGACGAATTCAAGTCCTGGTCATAGTTGTCCTGTGCCAGCAGTACTTCTGGCAGTGGTTGTGGCAGAAGACCACCACAGTCATTTGCCTGTCTGTTTGCGGCTGCACCAAATGCTCATGTTCCTCTCGTTGCAACCAAATCCTTTGTGGTATGTCAGAGTGCATCCCGTCTGCCTGTGTGCTTTCTGGCCTTGCATCTGCGTCACCTCAAATTTTGCCGATGGCTTTCATTATCTGTTTCCAGATTGAAGGACAGCAATATTCTGTTCGGACTACCACTGGTGATGGACACGAGCGATGAGGACATCAAGGAGGGGATGAAGGTTGGTCATGTTTCCAAGGATGCCTAAAACGATTTTCAGCAGAACAAAAAAGTGGATCTTGCAAAATGGTTGGCCATTAGCAAGGAACATGTCACGCTGGGATAAACTGCTCTTAACATTGGCTGCCAACAGTTGTTCTGTTCAATCTACAGGTGCTGCTTGAGTACAATGGCCAGCAGCTGGGAGTGATGGAGATTCAATCGAAATGGGTACCTGACAAGCCCAAAGAGGCGAAGTTGTGCTATGGCTCTTGTTCGATTGAGCATCCTGGGGTCCGCATGATCTGCATGGAGCGCGGCAAGTACTACATTGGAGGCCCAGTTATCGGCTTTGAACATCCAAAAAGGTACAGCTTTTTCTTGATATTAGTCAGAACCTGACACCATGTGCATTGTTACGGAAATGACAACTGGACCATCACACAGTCCTGGCTGTTGTCAAGCACGGCGTAATGTCCTCACATGGGCTTATTGATGGATATGGGTAGGTAGCTGAGCAATTCTTATAGATATCGCTAACTCATTGGCTGCCATTTTTCCCCAGCCTTTGTCCGCCTCACCTGCCGTATTATGTGATCATCTCTTTGGTTCGTCTTGCTGTCGACGTCCTGCGCTGTTCCACACGAGTGGCGCTCGCTGTTGCACTGAAATTGCATTGCAGACCTGACTGTCGCAGTGCCCAGCGCAACGCTGTTATTGATCATGGTCGTCGAAGTGATTATTGCGCCGCCTTGAGCTGACGCAATATGCACTGGATTCCTTCCCAATTCGAACTCCCTGTTAGGTGCACACATGCTCAAAATCTCAGTGACATGCTGGTCTGCAAAGGCAAGTGTAACCGCATCAGAAGTTGGCGCCATTGGTCCCAGCCTGGATTGCCAGCGTCACTCGCCTTGCAGTGCGGTAATGTCGCACATGGAGCCCTACGCATAATCTACCATGGCATGGAAACGCTCCATCAATTTCTTGCCCATTGTATGTCCTCACGTAGTTTTTCTTGAGCAAATTTTCGATTCACAGGGTGTTTCCCTGCCAGACGCCATCCGAGGTAAGGGCGTCGCTGCCTGCCACTACGGACGTGGTGGCATTCCAGTGCAGGAACCCTGTGCACAGGGCACACTACGAGCTATTCACACGGGCCCTGCACGCGCCGAATGTGGGCGCCGACGCTGTGTGTCTTGTCCATCCCACCTGCGGCCCAACCCAAGACGACGACATTCCCGGGATCGTCAGGTGAAAGTCAAGCTGTTTGCGCTTTGCCGGCAATGTGGCTTGCACTGCCATACGGTCTGAATGCGAGGACATGCGCACTTCAGGACTCGTCGCAGGGTAGTTGATACATTTTCTTGCGCTCCTGCATCTTCAAGGCATTGGAGCCGTTGGCAAGCAGGCGTGGCAAGGGCTGATATAGTATGAGTGCCGAAAACGCTTTGCTGACAGCACGATACGCGTATTTCGATGCTGCAGTTGGGGTCATGGGGCCCAGAGGACAATTGTGCGAGCGGAAGCCAAATGGGTCTCATGTTCTATCGTTTTAAAGAGGGCAGCCTTGAAGTCGTTATGCTGCTGGCCTGTTTCAGGTACCACACATACGAAGTTCTGAAAAAGGAACTTAATAACGCGCGGATACACTGGGCATACTTGCCCTACGCCATGCACATGGCCGGCCCCAGGGAGGCCGTCCAGCACATGATCATCAGGAAGAACTACGGCTGCACACATTTCATCATTGGCAGGGACATGGCCGGATCCAAGAGCTGCCTCACTGGGGAAGATTTCTACGGGCCCTATGACGCTCAGGTGCGTGTCAATCCTTTGGCTGCATTTGCCAAACAGCGACAGAACACACTACCATGGCCCCGACAAGGGAATGGCAGGTGCAAGTCCATGCGCAGAATGTTTGGAGCACAACATTCGCAGGCGCCAGCCGGGGCTGTGGAAGACAGCACTGCTGCCAAAAGAATGGCCTGCCGTCGCGAAACGGTCGTGCCTTTGTGTGCATGGTGCACCTCTGATGCAAGATTTTCACAACTTAACCTGGATTGCAACACGAAGAGAGATGCACAGGTGGCCTGGGCTGTTGCCGTAACAAAACATGGCAGTGGCTGTCGGTGTGGCATATGGCCGCCGACGACGCTTGGTGATGGTTATTCAGTCTGTATCGGCATTGTCGATTATGCGTCCCTTGGAATGCCTACATCGAGGTAAACGCAATTCTGAGGAGAATTCTGGGAAGTTTGCCGCGTTGTGCAGTGCTACCGGCAGTGTGCCCTGCGAAGGGCGAAGCCATTAGCATCCCAACTAATTGTTTGATTGACACTCATTGGGTTGTAGACAGCTGGACATGGAGTGATGAACAGAATGGGGCATACATTTGGGCTTGGATGTTCTTGCGCCATCGTTGATGAAGAACGACGGCGAACGATTGGTCCATGCTTTTACAAATACAGTCGCATTAATGTGACACACTTTCAATCAAACAATCAATCGAATAATCAACATCGTCGTTGATCGATGATGCTGAAGATGGATACTCTGGCATGCGGTGGGCAATTTGCGACGTCCGTGGCCCAATGCACACACCTCTCATGACTTTCAATCTCCTCAATTGCGGCCATGCCCATTCACCTTGGCGAAGATCAGAAAGAACTCACGGAGCGGAAGCCCATGGCCTTGACGGCTGGGCCACACTGTGCACCAGGACATGGCAAACGCCCATTGTGCGGAGCTGGGCATGCAGACGGTGCCCTCCCTCAACGTCGTCTACACTGAGGAGAAGGGCTACGTGACGGCAGACGTCGCCGAGAAGGAAGGCCTCCACATCAAGAAACTGTCGGGGACCAAATTCAGGAAGATGCTGCGGGCGGGCGAAGAGATCCCCACTTGGTTCGCCTTCAAGAGCGTCGTGGACGTTCTGCGTGAACACACTATGAAGTGACGTTCGCGGCGAGGCACGGGCGTGCTGCTTGGGTGCGGGAATGGCCTTCATCTGCTTGTGTGCTTCGCGGGTGAATGGTATGTGTGGGTCATAGGCTGTGATGCGCATGGATTGGATTGGAGTCCTGCCATTTGGGCAATGGAGTGGGTCGGGCACTCGTGCGTGTGGTGGAATTGTGGCTGCATGAATGCGTTGGAATTGGTGAAATCCTCGGGGAGGGGGGGTAGTCAGGGGCTGGCGCTTGGAAGATTTAGAACTGGGATGGTGCGCTTCTGGACAATAGGGAGGCCCCAGAAGTGGCATTGGCAAATTTTGCATTGGTCGTCCATCGACGACGAAGGCCGTGCGGGGATAATGGCAGTGAAGAATACGCCCCATGCATACGGTCCTTGGGAATACAACAAATTGGGTTTGAGATGCTGGATGAGTTTCAGCGGGGAGATTTCGTTTCTGCAGCGTCATGAACAGCCCTCGGCCTTTCCAAGTTCGTTTTGATTGCCAAGGGGCTATTCGGAGGACAGGATGGTCGGGACACGCTGGATGTGATGTGAGAAACAATAATGGCTGCTCAAGTCCAAAGACACAGGATGACTACACGCGCTTTATCCCCCGCACCCAACCCCTACCCCAAACTGGCGGGTCGGTGAGTCGTCACAATCGCTGTGCGTGGATTCAGATACCATTTGGTGCGTCAGAAGCACCAAGTCGATTTAAGCTGACTCCCACTAAACGCCGATGGCACCCAAGGAACTGAATCGTCGAAAACCGCCATCTCCACGCTCGGCTACCCGGACTCAGCCCAGTGGACCCGTGGGTGCCCATGCCGACGCGTGCACCGCCACGATAAGCTTCCTGCACTTGCTCAACAGTGTCGCTGGGGCGGGCGCATCGCACATCCATTTGTGAGCTTTGGTGCCACCGACGTGCCCCAGAACGTCATGTTGCTGTGGCCGTGGGCTTGTATTCATGAACAGGAGAATAGTGGGCGACACACTATACAGTGGACAGCGAAAGCCACCGAGCACACACCAAGCACGTTAACAACATTGCCCGCGGCATCATTTCGCATCCACGTCCATCAGCCGCAGGGTTCCAACCATCCCGCGTGCTCGACGCAACGCGCAGGCAGCACGCGGCCCTCCCCTCCCCCCATCGTACTGCACAGTCCCACTCTCCCCCCAGCGCCACCCGCCTTCCCACTCGCGGCCTCGCACCCTGCCCCAGTCGCCGCCCTCGGCTTTCCGCCGCGCCAACGCCGGATCCCCCCCCTTCCCCACCCATTCCTCCCCCGCTGAGTGCGCAGCGGTGCTCCGCTGCACACTCAGCAACCCGCTCATCCCGCCACCCGCCTAACGATTTTCTTCCGGCCATCCCCACCCCGGAAGAGAATCGATCAGGCATCGGCGCCGTCGGCCTTCTGCTTCTTGGCCGCGTTGGAGGTGTCCACTGCGGGGCAGACGGACCACTGGTAGCCGAACGGGTCCTTGAAGACGCCGTACAGGTCGCCCCAGTACTGCTGCTTCAGGGGCACCACGGCGCTGGCGCCCTCCGCCAGGGCCTTGTCCCACATCGCCTGCGCGTCGGGCACGTTGAGGTGCATGACGTATCCCCGACCCAGCCCCTCCTCCACGACGGCCGCCTTCTTCTCCATGTCCACTGCCGGGGCAGCCAACAAAAGTCATTGGGCGCGCAACACCGGCCCGCCCTGGATCCCCAGAGCAACCGGACTTGGTTGGATTCCGCGAACATTCACCCAGTGCAGGCTGTTGGGAACCCTATTGCGCCTTTGTGCCAACTCGTTCCGTTGTTTCAAGGTGCTCGCATGCTCTGCGGTACGCGGCCTGTCACAGCGCGACTCAGGCAAACCACGCGGGCACCCACGACGGCGCCACAGGGACAGAGCCTGAGCAGATCTGCAGATTGCTCCCCATTCGGGGCTCCCCATCCTCACCGTTGTCGCTCATGTAGATGGGCCCCCCGTTGAGGCGCATCGGCGCGTGCATCACGGGCTTCTTGCCGTTGTTCCCGCCGGGCGCGCCGGCGAAGTCGTCGGGCATGTAGTGGACCTCCCCGTCCGCCTCCGCGCCCAGCGCCCGCTTCATCCACTCCATGTGGCCGGCGCAGTCCGGCGACACGATACAGGGCACGACGCCCTTGGGGTACTCATCCTTCACTGGCTCTTCGTCGTGGCGCTTGGGCATGGCGGCACTTTTGTCCACACCGGTCGCGAAGTGCTGGCGGTTGCTCGCGAGTGAGAGAATGGCGGTGTGGGTGCGGGGTGTCTGCGGTTTGTGGTGGCCATGGGTTGAGTCAGGGCGGAGAAGGCAGTGGGAGGGGGAAGGCGGCCGGCCGCTGCGGAGCAGTACAGCGCGTCGGGCGGGAGCAACAAGGCGCACTGACGCGGGCAGGGCGTCGGGACAGCGGCGCGGCGCGTGGGCTGTGCGCGGTGTCCCCCCCGTTGTGTGCATCGCGTAATGGCGATTTGGGTGCGGTCGCGTAATGGATCCATCAACGCAACTTCAGCAGCCGGTTGGACAACGCGCCCTCCCAAATCCGGGCGGCAATTTCGGCGACCGGTGTGTGGGGGATCAAGAGCAGGACGGCCCCCACGATCAACTTTCGAAAAGCTTGGACGCCTCGCCAGCACGCCCCCCGCTCCCGCGCCCACCCCCCTGCCGGCCCCGGCGCCGATCGAACGCGAACGGCCTCTGTAAGGCTTCGCGCTGGCGCCCAGCAGCTAAGCGGTAAGGACGCTAATCATCATCATCATCATCCATCAAGCCGTCAGACCGCTGCGCGCACGTGCGCAGTTTCCAGGACGGACGTCACGCCTGCGGAACCCGTGGGAAACAAACGTGCAAAGCAGGTTCAGAAGATCCGGTGCCATGTGCATTGAGCATGGAATAAATATGAAGAGGAAGTGCATTGATCAATGATTGAGGATGGAATCCCCCGTGGCTGAAATCCTCTCGTGCACCTAATACCGATTGAATGCATGGAGGAGAACATCCCTTGGGTGCCAGTTGTGGCCCACCTGCCTGGGATCTTGCGGGTTCCAAGTTGGCACCAGGGAACGTTGGAACTTCCAACGCCCCTTGGGGTGCACTGCCTGCACTGTAGTGGGGGGCCGACGCAGGGGATCTGTCCACCTTGTCGACTTTGGACGCATTTTCCCGCCAAGCACCCTATTGGGATTGAATCGCCTTGCCTCGTGGAATCCGTACAGGCAGTGGTACTGGTTCGCTACGTGTGCACTGATATTTGGAAGTGTTTGTTGCTATGTTGCAAAACTTTGGCATACAAAAATCACTCCAAGTACTCTTTGACCGTGAATTCATTTTGCAACTGGAAGAGAGCCTCCACTTGAGAAGTTCTCTTTCTCTGAGAGGTGGACAATAGCTGTGTTGGTCTCGCTGGACCATCTTGCATGTTCCCACAGGAGTTTTGTTTGTGCCATCGGCAACGCTGGCAATATTGCAGTTAGTCCAACTTGGCAACAGTGCATGATTACCACTCTCGTTACATCGGCCGAGTTCGGCACAATCGTGAACACTGGCCACAGTGTGCGGCATATGCAAATCCACTATACACTGGCCAGGCCCTGTCGGCAAGCAATCTATCTTGGCCTATTCCATTTCCCCTTGTCCCTCGCCTGCATTTTCGTGGCAGCATCATCACCTGTGGATGACACCCGACCAGGATTGGCACATCAAAGAAGTCAAGCCATCACTGACAATGTTGTGCGATAAGGTGCTATTGCCTGTGTTGATAGTGTAGTGAGCTACACAACAAAGATTGTTGAGGTACTTTCAACAGCTTCAAATGCACAACTTGCAGCAATCCTCTTCACTCTGCCCCATCTCTAAATGACAAATCACAATACGCAGCAGCAATGGACGAATAGCTGAGCACTATAGTTTGAAGCAGTGGGATCCAAAGCTGAACATCCACAATCAAGAAACTGGCACATTCACTGCCAATTTCTCTGCTGGGACCTTTCGCCGTGCTCGACTGAAAAGTGTATCAGAAGAGTTTGACAGAAGGGGCCACCTACACATGTTCATCACCGCCCCATGATAAAGACCCATACAAAGCAGCAAATTTGAATCACAACCACAACATAGCACAAGTAGCACATCGGGCACATCGAACTGAGGTCTGTGGGTTGTACTGCCGTGTCAGCACAACAAGAACCCATTGTTTTCACACATTTCTGACACCACGAGGAACCGAACGTGCTGAAAAGAGGCAGGAATGGATTTGTGAGGCGTGTTTGTGAGGTGCATTAGATCGCTTGGGTCAAAGCCTCAAGCCAGAAACGATTGAAGGTGAGCGCAAGCCAAAATTTTGCCTGGCTTCAAGAAGATTCCCGACGCTGATGCCCCAATTGTCACCACCACAGCCCTGGAGACAAACAAGACAAAACTTGGAATTATGCTTGGAAAATTCCAACACTTCATAACACCTCTTCTCGGCACAACTGTGGCCATTTTCCAACATTCGCAGTAGGGCATCACTCTGAGCTTTCCAGCCATCGGCATTACCATGGATGCGATTCAAACGCAAACTCTCCTCATGCTATCGACCTGTTGCACACGGCAGCCGATGCGAAATTGGTTGACTAACTTACATGGCGGCAATGGCGATGCATGGAGCAAAATTTGGCTGTTGCCCTATACCTAAGCACTGGATAATGTCAAAGCTGAGGAGCGACTAACGAGATACGGCAATCAATACGGCAAGAATGTGGAGCTTCAGGGGCCTATTAAACCATGGGCGACGGCTCCGTCGATCTGTTCAGTTCTTCGCAACAAAGTGAGCTTTTTGCCGGAACTCAACAAGCCCCCACATCGCCGTTCCAGGCCAGCCAGCCCTCCCGCGGGAACTGCAACCCCACTCGGCAGCAAGGTGCCTTGACTCTGCCGCTTCAGGCACTCAAGGAACAGGGTCCGGGGCGGGGAAACGAAGCGATCCACAATCCTCCCCTCAGTGTATTCAGAACCCCCCGCCCCCAAAGCTTCTCCCGCAGTGGCTTAAGGTCAGCCCGCCTGGGCCCCCTCCTCACCCCCCCACCCCACCCCTGCGCGGTGACGCTTTGGCCGCAAACTCACGCGATGGCGATGACCCACACGGGCGCGTCCACGTTTCCTGGCGCCGCATCCGCCAGGGAGAACAGCTCCTGCAGGCCCGCCCTCACGACCGCCGATCTGCCCGTGCGCCTCGAAGGCGACCGTGCGCGCGCGACCGACGGCCTCGCCAGCGCGCCAGGGATCCGGCAAGCCGCCGGAAGGGACGGTGCCAAGCAGGGTCGGTGCATCTTGGCTGCGCTCGCGGATCGACGAGTCGGGAGTCGTGGGGGGCCCGGGCGGCAAAGGCGCGTCGCTCCGGCCTTCTTGTGCGTCGTTCCAGGCGTCGGTGACGCGGCGGGAACGTGTGATGCCGGTGCGCGCCAGAGGTGATCCAGCGCTGACCCACGCACGTCCAACGTCAGCACGGGTGGGCACGAGCTGGCAGATGGCAATCGCCAGACAAGGTCAGCTTGAGAAGGCCCAAAACTACAGCGAACTGGCACCTTAATGGCAAGCCATTAACGCGTAAGATGCTGCCCTGAAAGCGTTGTTACGGCTAGAACTGATTGAGTGTTATTAATAACCGAGTGCATGAAAAAAGATGATGAAGCACTAGGAATTGCACTAAGGATGTTGATGAACGGACGGAGTATATTGGACAGAACGCTTGTTGTCCTTTTGCCTCGGCTGTAAACCATTGTCGTGGACTCGAGCGTACAATTCCCGTTCCAGGGATCGCCACCCCTCGATCCTGCCTGCCTTCGTCAGCGTAACAAGCCCTGTAAGCTGACGGCTCCCTTTTTGCCTTGCTCCGTACAAAATGATGATGATGAAAAGCCCTCAACTTCAAGCTTGCATTGCCGTCATCCACTGCACACTTTGGCCAATGCTGTGCTGGCGGAAGCTACATCCGTCGTCTGTTCATGTTGGAGCCTTCGCTGGGTGGAAACAACTTGTTCACGCTTGCCACTGCACAACACACCTCTGCCCTTTGCCATGGTCTTCAAGGCCGACAACCGGCAGTTGCCCGCCTGAATATCCTGCAGCGCCCTTGTCTCGATCCACGATGCTCTTCGTTCCGCTGGACAGGTCCAATGCGACAACCAGAAAAGAGGCCGAGCGGATTACAACACCAAGCAATGGCGACAACAGTACCCATCCAGAGCTCACAGCCTCTGAAACACACCAGAAGTCATGGTATTGGGGGAAATTATATAAAAACCATATTCAGTTTGTTTTCGAAAGAAATGTATCTGAAGGCGGCGAGAAAGGGCCCTCGAGCGTGCCAATTACCCTCTCTGTATCTAAAAATGTGCGGCTGCAGCAACGGGCGCCTCAAATCAACAGTCCCGCAGGGGTGCAGAGTCGACAACGCATCCATCTATCAAAATTGGCGACAATCACCTCGAGTCGTCATGAGTGCAGTCACTAAAGCACAAATTGCCTTGTACACATGTGGAGCCGCCAAGCGAAAGAAGCAGATCCACTCCATTCGTCACCCATGAATTTCCAACGAGCACAGCGACGGAACAAAAAATTGCCCTGGCTTCCGTACCCCACCAGAAAGAGTCAACAAGCAACCAACAAAATGCAGAATCTCAGGCGGGCAGGCCGACGTCCAAGGGGGTGAATAACGTCCAACGAGAAAATCAGCAAGCAAAGGTACAGAAGCGTTGTGGCTGCCGCCTGAGGAGCCGTCCAGCTATGCATCTGCATAATAGCGGTGCTGCTCATCGCTTGGCCTCCATCACGTAGGCAGCCACGACTGTGATGTCATCTAGCTTGCCGCCCAATAGCCGACCGCATTCAATACGACCATCCTGTACGCGGGTTTGCAGGAGTTTTTCCCACCATTGCAAGTCCATCCTGCAGCACAAGCGAGGCATAAGCGAAACGATCTGGACCACCAATCCAATACCCATTCAGAAAGCGTCAGCATATCACCAAGAAAACTCATGATTGAGCAATAAGGTTGGGGTGACATCTGTAAACATCTGGTGGCTGGCAGAGGTGGATGCCAGCGGCGGAAATCAACGCGCAAATGCAGAAAGAGAGAATGAAACTCAAAAATCGGTGTGAGTGAGCGCCTTTCATCAGCACATGACGTCACTTTTGGTACCCGACCAAGAGCTGTTATTGAATTCAGTTCCAAGCGTTGCCATCACCAGAAGCTTCTCGACAACACCATGGCACAAGCTTGGCACAAGAATAAAGAATACGCGCTGTGCAGCTGACGACGCTGATTGGCTGCTCTAAAGTGTATGAATGGCTGGAAATTGGCATACGTCGATGCCAGAGATCACAATCTGGTGCCAAGGGTAGAAAGCCACCGGCGAAGGGGCCTACAATATCAGCACTAGTGAAAAGAGACAATCGGCAAGCTTGCATTGACGAGATGTTCGACCAGCACTGCATAATATAGCTCGAGTGTTGGCAATATGGCATTCCGCATGAATAAAACGTCTTCTACAGAACAGCATGCTATACGCTGCAGTGGAGCCATGTGGCCACGGGTGTTGGGATGGGAAGATTGCAGCGATGTTTGGTCGCTGCAACGAAGATATGAGAATTCAAACATTGTAAATAACACTAGAATGGCTGCATCTCTCAACAGGGTCGTTCTTGTGTGCACAGCGTCAGATAGTACTACTCAAGCTTCATTGCAGGAGAGCTGTCCCATGGTTGACCTGCAAATTCGAGATAACATCACAATGGTTGATTCACCAAGAATGCAAAGACTATCAGTTCATATCAAAATAGTGAATAACATAGAGAGAACAGGCTAGCATTGTGTATGCTTTGGCCATAGTGTATCGCATGTGCACATATGACGCTTGGGCAAGAGCATTTCACTGCGTTGCCACGAATGTCATTTCCAAATAGGGAAGAAGCCCGAAAATTTCTGAGTGCATCGATGCTTAGAAGAGCCAGCAGCTCCCCAATACAGACAATTACAGATGCTGATCTGCAACGCACCCCTGATCCCGAGCCTCTACCACAAACGGCGATTCATATGTTGGGTCCATGGAGTGTCGCTGTGCCAAAGCTGCAATCTGATCTGCTGCCTTCTGAGCATCTTCAGGGCACTGCGGGAGCAGCTTCAGCAACTCCTCGCCAAAGCAGTTATCCCACAGCCCATCCGTCCCTGTGCCACTTACCCAATATTAAGATTCATGGCAACATGCCTGGTGTATTATGCCAAAACTCCAAGCATTGCCATTCAAAGCATTGATGCCAAGGGCGTGTGGATACTGGTACTAGTGACCTCAACAAATCAAACAAACGTGCAAGTGCACAACAGTGACTTATCTAATGTGATGATATTATGTACGAGTGTGCGGATAGATGGGATGTTATGTACAGGCGTGAATGTGTGGCCAGATTGAACAGAATCACTGCATATCTGTGGACAACCTGCCGTGAGATTGTAACTTTGCTGTGCCATCTGTGCATGGCTGCACACTAGTTACTGCAATGCTAGACCAAGCAATGAACAACTTCAACGCCAATGCATACGTGACACCTGCGATTTACGTAGCTTGCTGATCTGCAAGCCCTCCCACACGGCCCCCTCCCCCCCCTCTCCCCCCTCTGGAATGCCGAACTTCTCTTTTCTCTTTCTTGAGACTGAGCATTCTTTGGATTCGAACAATTTGGGGGCTTTGCATGCCCCTGCATGCTCTTGACAGGTGGCACAAGACCCACATATCTTGTAGTTGGACAAGGGAGGAACCTGGACACTGAAATGTGATGTAACATTTTGGATTCAAAACGAAATGCCACTGCACTGTAGAAGCCGCAACACAGTGCTGATACAAAGCTGCCCAGCGCACATCAAAGCAAAAGCACAAGCCAGACTCTGCATAGTCATTCCACACACTCACCCATTATGATGACATCACCAGGCTGGGCTTCCCATTTGTACTCATCAGCATCATCTGCGTTGTCCGTGGCTCCAACGTACTCAGGGCAGGCACCAAATTGCCTTGGGCAGTCAAAATAGTGCTGCATGGGCTTTGACCTCATTTGCACAGATCCGCCCCTTGCCAACAGAAACCCTGAGTCACCCTGAACAACAAGGCAGGAAAGGCTGACAATAGTGTTGCCATTTGCGCTCAAACGACTATGCATTCTCCAAGGATGCACACACTACAAATCACTGCCTTGCAGGGACCTGGAGCTGTTTCTCCAGCTACTGGGAAAGCATGTTGTCCACTTAATTTTCTGAGAGGTCATACTGGCCTGTCCACAGCAGCAGCTGATTTGATGTGATTGATCATGAGGACATGAGACAAGACAGTAAGTCCAAACAGTCTGAAAACATGAGAGCAGGGTATTGTGCTGGCTGGTGCCTGGCAGAAAGGCAGCCACCATGCAACACCACAGGATGAAAGGGACCATGTGTTCCTGCTTGACACACCACTTCAGCTTTGTCAAGAAGTGGGCAGCCACATTCGGCGAAAAGCACATTTAACATAGAAGGGCCTGATGGACGGTCCCTGGTAAGACCAGCAGTCAAACAACTGCCTTCTATGTGAAGGCGTGCAGCTCCCCAAACCACACACAGAGGGAAACGTGGCCAATAAGTTCAAAGGAGGTTCATGGGATGAAATTACGGCTGAGATCGTGCATGAAGGGCGAACTTGTGTGCTCAGCATTCAGACAGTTGTTGTGTTTCGATGCGATCAGGGCACGGCGATCTTTGGTTCTTTGACGATCCTTGGCTTACGATGCAATTCAACAACTGATGCACCGACTGTTGGGCAGGCTGACTAATTGGCGCAAACATAGCAAATGCATTGTCTCATGTCGCCGGAGGTTCCAGAATGGATGCACTCCCTCTTGTTGCAAATGGCAGCCTTTTGTTGATAGCAGGCAAAAAACATATCATGTTGCCCACAACAAAAAAATCTGCAGCTCCAGGCAAATTGAGCTACAGTGGGGGTGCCTGTATACCACACCCTCAAAAGCGCCCGGGCCCCAATAGCACCCCGTATCTTGGCTTGGCACCACTTTTGTAGTATATCATGTAACTCTGCTGTGAAATAGCACCTCAAAACAGTATATTGAACGTGTGGAAGCGCTCAAAAGAGGTTTCTAGCAGACCAGCAGCATTCATTATTTGCAAAGAATTATGAAACAGATCCAAACGTTGTGCGAGGTATCTATGATTACGATCAGATCAACAGTGGTGCCAGCACATCCACACTTTGCAGTGACATTTCAAGTTGGTAATGTGCAGCGAGATTCACAACATACTTTGAGATTTTGAGACGCTGCATAAACATTTTCTTGTGATAGAAACTGGAACCCAGCAGTGACATAATCAGGAATACAGGTGAAGGATTATCACTTCAGCACTATCCCCACGCCGCGACATTGCCACTTGACGCCCCCCCCAAGTGTCGCCATGCAATCATAAGGCTGCCTTATTAATGCAACACTGTCCGGCAGAATGCATTCAGCATCAATGATGCAGGTATTACAGTGCAAAGCCATGTGCACATCAATGTGCCACCTCTGTTCCTGAAGTCCTGTCCGTTATTCAAATAATGCAAGTGGAGGTCAACACGTGCGAGTCAAAGAATTCGACCAAAACAACTTCAACGCACCATGTTGTCAGCTATCTGTATAGCCATTGAGCATGGAAACGGTGATGCCGTTCTTGAGATATGCTAAGAAGAGCACAGGCGCCATTTTTCTTTTCGTTGAGACCTAGAGTGGGGTATGGGGCGCTTGTCTTGGCCTTTGAGGGAGGTGGATCGAGCTGAGTAGTCTCTAGGAAACATGAATGGCCTGGTGGTTTGCTATGTATTGAGGCTTCGGCTAAATTCAAAACTGAATCCACACAACAAAAGATGCGGGCTTGCCGCAGATTTTGGATGTCAACAGGAATTGTGCATTTGTTCTGGCTGAAGGCTAAAAGACACTTAGATTAGTGCAACAAGGTTAGGAACGCCGTGCATACTGAGAACGGCCTAGCTTGGTGACAACATGGCGAATCGTTGAATTTGACAACTTCAAGGCATGGGTCAACATAGTGGAAGTGATGGTCCACAGAGAGTGTGACTGTGATGACGCCAAATTCTGGAAAGTTTGTAGCATTGCCTGTTTATCGCTCAAATCCTTTGATTACATTTGTCACATAAACATGACAAAACACTGCCCTTGCACCTTGGAGGCGATGTTGGGCCTGTTTATCGCCTACAACAGAGTTCTTGAATAGTTTCAGGGAAATAGGCTGATGCACATGGGGACAAGGTGAGCACAAAACCACGGGAATTGAGGCCCTCACGAAGATGTATAGGGACACTTTAAATAAGGCTGTGCAGGTCTTGCTGTATGATGATGACTAACTTAACCAAGATCCCCATTACCCCAAAATCGACCAAGGAAAACCGAATCTGGTGACAGAATTACTAATTGAGTTGATCTTGAAAAGTTATGGCAAGATTGGATAACGGGCAAGACTTGTGGAATGAAGGTAGTATTTGAAAACACTTGCAGGTGCAAAAGAAGTTGAACGTGTCACTCCAAAGTGAGCCTCACACACAGTGTTCCAATGCTATCCCTTTATGGGAGAGGATGCACAAGTGTGATGGCTCAATTTCGCATTAAACAGCTTGTATTATGACCAGTGGGGCTTCAACTGTGCAAAAGGCGATGAGCAGCATCATTTAATGGAATTCATAAAGACCAAAAGCAGTAAAATGTGTAAATTTTTAGTGCCCATCCCCCAATAGCGCCCTGTTTTTGGCAATATCACGGGTGGGCACTATATTGGTACCCCCACTGTACACCCATGGAGGTGGACAATCATCCAAAAACAAGTAGCACAAGCCAGACTCACCAGATTAACAGCTTCAATCGACTCGCTTGCCTTGTCCAGCCTCAAAACACATGCAGTTGATGATCCTGGCAACCGAACGGATGCATGAGCAACAGCCAAGGCGTCCTGACAGACACCCAAGCATCAATGGATGATGGAAAATGCATACAACGGAGAAATACATTACAACAATAGTGTAACACCAGGGGGAAACAGGACAAATCAACAGGAACGGCACTGTCGTTCCTCAGGAACTTCAAGTCAGCATTGTCCACAAGCACATCTTGATGAAATACATAACAAAGAGAGCTCAATGCCCATAAGATTTGCCAGTGTTGCTCAGTATTTCATCATAATTATGTGAGTGACAATCCATACACTACAGTTGCTGGAAGCATGCAGCTCTGGAAAATAGCCCTTGAAATATTTGCTCACTCTCAAAGATGGTATCGCCCCTTGCTCTTGGCGATCTTCAGGAATGCCAGGCCAAAATTTCGTTGATCCAGTACCATCGCCATCGGCTGGCAGCTTGTCCTTGTTGTCCTCAAGAAAATTCTGAACTGTCCGCATGAATTGACGAGAGTACTCTGAAGCCAACGAAAAGGATACAGCATCAGATGTGCCTCAGATCACCATGTGCAGATGGAAAGAGGTGAGAAAGACCGGCTTGGTTGCGATCGCCAGAATGTGGCTCTGCCCTTGCACGGCAAAGCAGCACGGAGGATAATTCCATCAGCATCGTCCCTTGAGGATGTTTGTTCTCCCCTCCTGGCTAGAAAATGGTCACATAGAAACTTGTACCATGCAATGTTTGAAACTATTCTTGTTTCTTTTGTTCAGTTACTACAGCTGTTTTTACTTTCAACAGTGTACACTGTCACCCAGCTCCTGAACAGCAGAAAGGTATTCTGTGGATGCCACCATAGCAATACTCCCAAGAACAAGTCCGAACGCCAAGACGCCATTCTCATGTGGACTGTCCGCATATGGCTTGGTGGCCCCTGGAGTTCACCCTTCAACTTGACGACTGAAGATTGGAAAGTGGACAACAAGGATCAACGCACCAGCAGGATCAATGCCGCTCTCACGCCAACCTCCAACACCATCCGCCACGCCAATAGCCCCCCCACCCTCACCACTCACGAACAGGGCATCTTCACCACCTGTAATGACCTGCACAGATGAAGAAGAGTCTGTCTTGATCAAGCCAACTTCTGCAGAGTTGATTGTGTTCATGATCCACATCGACTACAATTGCCAATACATGACATAGCACTCGCCATTCATCCACTTAGCCAGCTTGGACCAATCCTGGATTCAAGGAAACGAATTTTCCAGGCCGCCCACTATTTCGAAACTTCCTATTCAAAATGAGCGCTTAAAAGACTGTCAGCATGCTGGAATTGCATCTAACTTGCCCATTCCAGAGTTGGTGACAGCGAATTGGAGAGTGTGCACCTAGTTTCTTCATTAGACAAGCCTAAAATCGGCATAAATTGAAGAACCTGGTTCTCGACGTCCCTGTCACACGGATGTTCGGCTCTTCTTCACGGCTGCGAACTCAGCTGCCGTGCCCTGCGGAACTCTAGCAATGTCTTATCCAAGATACTGAAGCACAGTTTCGATTTTCGGGAGCACCTTCTCGGGGTGTGGAATGGCGCTTGTTCCGACCGACAACACGAGGCCGTTCATCCTCAGCCTTTGCTTGGATGCGCCAGATGGGGCGGTCTCTGACGACAGCAGGGAACACAGTGAGCTGGGAGCCGCTGACGCGTTGACACCAGCAAGAACAAGCGCCACACACTACAAACAAGCCACCAACGTCCCCTGGGAACCACAACGCGATGCACCGTCGCTTGCATCTCCGCGGTGCACAAGCAGCAGCACAAACTGCCGGACACGGGACCAGTCGCAGACACGCGCGATTTGTCGAGCCGCAAAGAGCGATCAAACTCCCCCTCCCCATCTCCGGCCATTCGCCCCCTCCCGTTACCCTCGTTTTGCGCCTTAAACTGCCAAAAGCCGGCAGCAAACATGCAATTCGACGCACAAGCGCATGTTCTCGCCTTCAAGGCGCAAGGCCGCCGCTTTCCTTGGGAACGACGTGGTTGCAGAAAATGGTTGATCACCATCCCTTGACGCGAAGAGCTTTACCCCGGAAAAGAACTTTCAACCAGTCTTACTCGTCGAGCTGGAGGCCTCCACGCGCCAGGTCGCCCTGGCCCACCGGGACCCGACGTCCGGTGGGGGGCACCATCCGCCCTGCGTGCCTCTGGCCGTCAACGCCGGGTTGGCCGCCTGC